CTGATGTAGTGATCTATTCAGATAAAGCAAAGAAGGTTAAATATCTAATGGAGCTGACTTGTGGAAATGAGCAGAACTTTGCTGATCAAGAGAAGCGAAAGATGAAGAGATATCAGCAGCTGACAGAAGAGATAGAAGCCAACGGATGGGCTTGCAAGCTCCAGCCAGTAGAAGTGGGAGCTCGAGGCATTTACAACTATAGCCTCCCAACCTTTATGAACCACCTGAACGTAAAGAATAAAGAGAAGAAGAAGGCCTGCATGAAGATCGCCGAGATCAGCCTGAGGGCATCGTATACATATGACCACATACTCACACTCAACACCATTACGTCTAAATACAAAAAGCTCAAGGTTCCCGTCTATGCTGTTTTTGTGGACTTCCGGAAGGCCTTCGACTCTGTTTGCCGTGAAGCTCTTTTCTTAAAATTAGCTAAACTAGGTATCACTGGCAAAACATTTAATGTTCTTAAACATATGTATAAAAATTCCACTGGCCAGATAAAACTATCTGGATTTGTCAGCGAAAAATTTGATATCAATAAAGGAACTGAACAGGGTCATCCACTTTCCCCTGATCTATTTAAGATATACATCAGAGATCTTTCCCCTCGACTAGAATATGATAACTGTCCGAAACTAATGAACCAACTTATCAGTCACTTACTATGGGCAGATGATCTGATACTCTTGGCACTGGACCCCAAAACCCTCCAAAAGCAACTCGATGCTTTGAACAATTTCTGCTTGGAATGGGGCGTCGAAATTAATGCAGATAAAACTAAACTCATGAAATTTAATGCCCGTTTTGATACTTATCAGCCAGTTCCCCTCAAAATTGGTGATCACTTGTTAGATGAAGTCGAGTCATACTGCTATCTAGGAATCGAAATACACAAATCCGGCACATTCACAAATGCCCGAACTGAGCTCAAAAAGAAAGCCATGCGTGCACTTTATGCCATGAAAAGCTCAGTAAACAAATCCAAATTATCATTCCGCTCTCTAACAACACTCTTTGATGGTCTTATTAAACCTATCGTTCTTTACGGAGCGCCTATTTACACACCTAACATGGCTATCATAAAACACATAACAAAACAAGTCGATCTCAATATGGATGCCGACACAAAAACAAAATTTCAAACTAGTATCCTCAAGAAAATTAGCCTTCTGAACAGCGAAAAAGTTCACCTTCACTTTCTTAAATGGTCACTGGGGGTAAATCGTAAAGCCAGCAACGCAGGCGTCTGGGGTGAGTCAGGCCGCTACCCATTAATCTATGAATGTATTAACCTCACTCTCAAATATAGCCAACGTTTGAAAAATCTCAAAGATAACTCCCTTGTCTCCTTAGCTTTCAAAGAACAGATGAACATGAAATTGGACTGGTACAGGGGTTTGGAGCCTGTCCTCGCGCTAGACCCATGTTTCTCTACCGATCATGTCACAGCCTACCGCACACTCAAAAACAATCACTCCAAGTTACTTTTCGAAAGAAACCCGAGTATCGCAAAACCACCAAAAGAGGACTTTCTTATTCACAACGGTTTCAAGAAACGAATTCCTCCTCAATCAACACAACCCATCGGGAGTAAAATATTCACACCACACGTCATTACTAAAACTTTGAAATGTAACTTTAGAGAATATTGGGGGTCCTGTATCAACACTTCTCGGAAATTAGAATTCTATCGTGACCTAAAATCCAAATTTAACAAAGAGTACTACCTAGATAGTGTCATTAAATATGCAGACCGTGCTAATATCACAAGACTGCGGATCAGTGCACATCGACTCGAAATTGAACTTGGCCGATATAATCAAACTCCACGTGACGAGCGAATATGCTCCTGGTGCAATATAGTCTTAGGTTCTGGTATTATTGAGAATGAAGACCACTTCCTTAACCATTGTGATCTTAACGCTGCATCGAGGCGAAAAGTCCTAGACAAGATCCAGTCACTCATATCAAATCCAATCAAACCGTCTGCGACATCTTATTCTGTTCACAATGTCATCCCTGGAGCAAACGTCCTCAAATTCATCAGCAACAACAGTGAAATCATTGAACTTATCACGAACGAAAGTCAAGTCCACCTCACGAGAGTCGTTGCTAGGTTTGCCACTACGTGTTTTAACAACCGCAAGAAATTTGTTGACTCTCTGGCCAGTACATGAACAGTGAACACTGAAAATCACTGTACCCGCTTTTGTTTCTTTTCGCGCAACGACGAGTGCAAACTGCAAAGTGACCTGGCTCAAGCATTACAGCATTACCAAGGCGACTGAAAACAAAATATTTTATGTCAAATCTTTATTTTTCACTTTAGTTAAGTTATATTAATATAATAAATTCAAATCTTATGATATTGTTATTATCTTAACAGTTACTATTGTAGCTCAAGATTTTAAATTTGTATTCCTTGTATTCCTTGTATTCCTTGTATTCCTATACCATCTATTTGACCAGAAACACTACCATATGGACAGATGATTGGGAGTTAGTCCCAATATATATATAATATATACAAAACCGTTCGGTTCTTTTGCGATAGTCAAAACGCGACAACTGGATAACGCTGGCCAGCGCAAAATATATATGTTCGATAATTGTCGCTATCCAGCGCTAGTTGTCGCCATCCAGCGCTAGTTGTCGCCATCCAGCGCTAGTTGTCGCTATTCAGCGCTAGTTGTCGCTGGCTATGCGACACTGTCGCACGCGATAGTTTGCGATGGCCAGCGCAACTGGCCATCGCAGAAAACAGTTCGATAACTAGCGCTGGATAGCGACAACTAGCGCTGGCCAGCGCTGGCCAGCGCTAAGCGATAGCCAGCGCTGGCCATCGATATCCAGCGCAAAATTTTTGCGCTATTACTCGTCAGCTAGCGCTGGCCAGCGCTAACCAGCGCTAGCCAGCGCTAACCAGCGCTAACCAGCGCTAGCCAGCGCTGGCCAGCGTTAGCTGACGAGTAATTTCAGTAATATCGCAACTATATTGCGCTGGCTGACGAGTAATACTAATATCGAGCGTGCTAAATCACTCTACAGTCGATCTTCGAGATTGTTCTAAAAGGGCCCACGATGGTTGTATCCAACTTAAAACTTCAATCGATGTATTTTTGGACGCTAATTCCGAATCAACCCCCATGGGCCACGTGACATAGGGTTAATATGCTCTCCTGACGAAATATTGGCGAAAAACTGTACATGTATCGATCACGTGATATGACCGTATAAGGAAGTTAGTCTAATTTCTCGTTATTGTTAATGTTAGGGTTTCAGCATATGTTTTTATTAAGGATTGGGTTAGGGTTAGGGTTGGGATCAAATTAGAGGGTTAGGGTGGATGGCGACAACTAGCGGTGGATGGCGACAACTAGCGCTGGATAGCGACAATTATCGAACATATATATTTTGCGCTGGCCAGCGTTATCCAGCGCTGGATAGCGACAACTAGCGCTGGATGGCGACAACTAGCGCTATCCAGCGCTAGTTGTCGCTATCCAGCGCTAGTTGTCGCTGGCTATGCGGCACTGTCGCACGCGATAGTTTGCGATGGCCAGTTGCGCTGGCCATCGCAAACTATCGCGTGCGACAGTGTCGCATAGCCAGCGACAACTAGCGCTGAATAGCGACAACTAGCGCTGGATGGCGACAACTAGCGCTGGATGGCGACAACTAGCGCTGGATAGCGACAATTATCGAACATATATATTTTGCGCTGGCCAGCGTTATCCAGCGCTGGATAGCGACAACTAGCGCTGGATAGCGCTAGTTGTCGCCATCCAGCGCTAGTTGTCGCGTTTTGACTATCGCAAAAGAACCAACCGTTCTTATTGATTATTGAACGGTGTTAGATAGATAAGAAAGAGAAAAAGGGATGCAATGAAAGGTTCCGGGTTTATCTGTGATATTAGTTACTCAATGTTATATTTCGATGAATTGAAATTCGATCCAACGTTGCATCAAAAGAGGAACACAATATATACGGCTCATTTTGAAAATGCCTATAGCATATTCCTCTTGTTCATACAGTGAATTTTGACTTTTGACTTTTGAATCGTTTAATACAGTGATATACTACACCTTCGGCAACCGGACTAATTTAGTATTTACATCTCCATAAGATTGACAAACGGGGCTCATGTTTTTTTTGTCCGTTTTTGTCCGTGCGATTTTGTCCGTTTTCAGAAAATAGGGTACCGATATTCGAACGGACAAAAACGGACAAAATTGTAATTTTTGATATAAATTGTCTCCACAATTTGTAACAGGCTATCTGCAGAAATCTGTAGCACGGTTAATGACAATGGTCCTTTCTCCAACTTTCAATCGTCAGTTAGGTACAAATAATAGTCTACACATTTTTTAGTAACATAAAAAGGGATGAAAATCACTTTATTTATGAAAAATATCGTACATATACTAGAAATCCCGTGGTAACAGGGATGAAGCCATATTATATAACATCCATATTCCATGTACATGTATGTTATATAAAATATAAAAAATAAAAAATTGTGTATTCCGCTTTCTGCTAGCCGATAGAGCACTGCCTAGTGCCTACACTACTACACACATACACACAATAGTCAGAGGTCGAATAGAGTTCTAAAAGAGTAATTTTCTAAACTTTTCCGTTTAACAATATCGGACAATAAACACTAAACAGGATACAATAAATAAATAACAATATACAGCAGTTTTAAACTAATTACAACACTACAAATCTATTACATTTATTGAGTAAATGGCATTCAACATGACCGCTGGATTGCTGATGACGACTGCTTAAAGACAGACGAAACTATAGTATGAAAAGCTGCGAAGAGTGTGACGAATTGGAATTTATTTATTGTTTTTTCTGAATCTGGTGTAGTATCATTGCTTCATTGGCTTTATTGAAATGATGAATGGCCCAAACAACAATATACAGCAAAACGTTTAAAACAAATTACACTAAATATTCTGGAAAACTGATTAAATATTCACTACAGGTTATGCTAGCAAGAGTAGATGCGATAAAGAACGCATCCCGTATTGAAGCTCTTCATCAAAGGGAGATAGATGATACCAAACTTAGAGATAATCATTACAGACTCCATGTAATACTATTTGCAGTGTTTTATCATTGTGGTTTTGTAATATTTTCGATAATAGGAAACTCCTGGATTCAAACTTTACGACATAACTACCCTGTTAATCTGTTCAAGTAACGACTTTAAATTTTATTATCCTGTCCGTTAACAACAAAACTTCGCATCCCAGGAGCAGGAACGAAAGGAGATGATGTCTGTCCTGAAGAAAAGAGGTGATGATGTGAAAAAGAAGAAAGACCTCAAGCAGTACAAGCAGTTCATGACAGATTTCTGTTGTCAGAACGCGTCTCTTTCTAAAGCGCTAGCTCGTCATGATAGGCGGACTATAAAAGATGATCATGCATCAGCCTCACAGGATAAGGTTAGAGTAAATCTTAGCACTTAATTAATTATATTAATTGATATTTTACATTGCAATATGCGTACTTGTAATTACTTGTAATGTTGCGGGTTCGATTAGATGATTGGGAGATATGATCTCAATGATAATGCACTGCAGGTCGGTTTACTGAGAGACACAAACATTCGAGCTCGGCGAACTGTACAAGAATATCAAGACTTTGTGAAGCTCAGAAGACAGGCCGAGGCACAGTACGATCGAGCTCAGGTATTATATTAGTCTGATTACGATAATAGTAGCTGTTAAAACCTATACAAAATGTGTCAATTAAGAATTTAAAGAGTGTCCAGTATGATCTAGAAACTGTCCAATTATGTTATCTAGAAACTGAGGTTGACATCCCTTAAATTTGCAGATAAACACAGTGCTTCTAGAAGAGAAGAAACAGAGAGATTTAGATGTTCACGACAGAATCGATCAGCTAAAACATCTTAGAGCCAGACCAATCATGTCTCCGATACAACTCCGTCCTAATACCGATACCGATAAGGTAATGTTGTATAGACTTGACTACTGCAAATGAGACGTCACTTTTTTAGACACGTGACAGAGATTCGAGAAGTTGATTGGTCGCTGCTGCAACCTGATTGGTCAATCACTGTCATGTGCCGAGTCCTTTCATGATGATGTTCATTTGTAGAATCCTCGTGTAATTGGTCTATAGAGGTGTTTACCAATAGTTTTATTATCTATGAGCTAATCATATAGTCGGTAGATAATTTTACATTGCTAATATAAACTTCTTAAACCACAGATGGAGACTCTAAGTGAAACAGAGATTATATCAAACTACAAATCGTGTATCGATCATGGCGAAAAGAAGACTTTGATAAAAGGTTTGTGAGACGTTTATAACATTCTTCCCCCCCCCCCTGTCAGTAAAATGGTAACAGATATATATATATATATATATATTATATATATATAATTGTGGGTGGCGTCGTCTGCTTACAGTGCTCAATCGGCAAGCCGAGAGCTAGATACAAAACCATGATATCATCAGTTGTCACTGATGATATCATGGTTTTGTATCATGATTGAAACATTTGTCTGACTCGACCGGTCGTTTCATTTTGTATATATATATATATATATATAGTCTCGCTTTATATATACATACATGTAGTAAGATAATAAAGATCTAGTAACTTACTTTTATATAATAATGTGTGTCATACGTCATGAGGTATGACAGATAATGTGCAAAGGTCTGTAGCACAGATAATGTGCACACCTTTTATCTTTTTAAATATTTGATTAAGGCTAGGAATGAACTTTGCCTGATGCTGCATTCTTATAACTAGCAGTATAATAATAAATAATATATCGTGTGATATTCTTATAATATGATTACCGGCATGACCGGCAACATAACGCTTTTAAATTATACGATGCTTCATTTATGCTTCATTCATGCAGCATCTAGGTGCGGTAATATTTTGCAAATAGTACGCGGTTCCGCACCTGATTTAACAATAAAAAACACTTAGGACAAAAACACTGTAATTAATCTGAACAATACGCCAAATTTGCAGCCGTTAGGTACTCTCAGGTTGAACCGATAAACAGCGTAGTATATAGGTTTATTGTGTTTCATGGAGATTCGTGACAATTCAAGTATGTATAAATCTATTGAATTACCCTCATTTAAGCTTTTAAGGTTTTACAACACTCATAACGCCGGCACGCACCTAGGGATTATATTTCAATTTTTTGTAATGTAACCCTTTTGGCTTTGCGTGATGGTTGGTATTGTTTTATATATATTTACATATTTACAATAAGATATTATGTTAATAATATAAGCTTATACAGTATATATACGAATTGTGAGCGTTATTGAGAGAATTCAGTCTATTGTTACGCCAATATCCTAAACTTAAAGTTAACTTGTTTATTTATTCAGGCACGAGTTGTATCGTATTTTCCTCATCATAATTGATAATTTTAGTATACTTTGGGAGGGGTTCGTCTGACAGTGCTCTATCACTTTCACAATCCTTATTGTACACAGCGATACCAAGTGCACAAATCTGATAGAACTAATAACGGCTCAACCTTTTCCTTTAGGCCATGTTTCTAATTAACCTTCTCGTATTGGGCTGTATTCTTCTGTACATCCTTCTCAATCTCTACATCTACTTGATGAGGATCAAATACAAGCACTTCAAATCTCCCCCGGTCCCCATCTCTCCCATCTGGTTTCTTGGTGCACTACCGGAGTTCATGGAGTACGCTAAAAGATCAGAGAAACTAGTGTTGTATGCATTTTATGATACTTACGGATGGGATGTATTTGTAATTCACCTTTTTACTCGAAATATGATCTTTTGTTTGGATTTAAGTGTTATTTCGAAGGTTTGCAACGACAGAGTAATGTTTCCTAAGAACAAAATGTTCCATGACGTTTTAAAATCAGTCGCGGGGATAAGAATTTTTGGTGAGTATGGACTACTAAACGATACAGGAACTGATGTATGGCATGCGAAAAGGAGAGTAATGGAACCTGCATTCCACAAGGGATTCCTCAGAACCATCATGACAGATTTGAACATAGTGGTAGAGAATCTTATGAGTAGGTTACGTGAAAAAGATTCTCATACATTCGACATAACGGAGGAATTTTGTCGAGCAGCCTTCGAATCCATATCAGTATGTGGCTTCAACTGGAACCAGGAGCTTTTGGAAAAACACGGAGAGCAATCATTAAAACTGGCTTCTACAATGGTCAAGGTAATAACGTTATCGTTCAAAGAATATGCCACATTTAATTTCCCGTGGAGCAGAAGGGAAGAAAAGCGAGAACTTAGGAAGAATATGCCCCGAATGCGAGATGTAGCAAGAACCCACTTACTTGACCGATTGGAGAATACAAATGAAGACAAGGAAGATATTCTGTCTCACCTCATCCGGAGTATCCAATGCTCCGATCAACTGACGTTAGAAGATCTGGTAGACGAGTATTTGACGTTTATCGGTGCTGGCATGGAAACCACAGCCATCACCATGGCAATAACACTGTTTTACTTGTCAGTGTATCCGGAGGTATATAAGAAGGTTCAACAGGAAATTGATGAGGTATTTGAGGATACAGACGACCTCAGTTTCGACGATTTGAACAAGATGGTGTTTCTAGAAATGGTTATCAAGGAGTGTATGAGACTGAAACCGCCTGTCATGGCAACGACTAGAAAATGTAATAAAGATAAGGTTGTTATCAACGATATCTACATTCCCGAAGGAGCAGTGGTTATAGTTCCGATTGATGCATTACATAAGGATCCACGTTATTGGGAAAATCCGCACGAATTTAATCCTGAACGTTTTGCACCCGAAGCGAAACGTAACATCACACGTTTCACGTACATGCCATTCATGTTGGGCCAGAGAACTTGCATTGGACAACATTTTGCTATGTTGGAGATGAAGATTGTGATCGCGAAGATAGTGAGGGAATTTGTTGTTGAAAACCCGAAACCGGAAGTGAAGTATATTGAAACGGTGGGAAATATTACAGCAAGACCATCTGATGGGGTTACAGTGAGATTGTTATCAAGGATGTGAAAAACATTGAACTTTTTGTCAACGATTTAATTCTAGCTTATAATGTTGACATGTTGGTCACTGACAGATTCAGTTCAACTATTCTGTTTGATTTAATTGTCTCGTTTAGCTATTTAGTTAGTCGTTTAGTTGATGAAAAAAATGAGATAAGATACCCCCAATTAAATTTTCGTGAAGACCGGTATTTGCATTTTCTGCATAATGTGTTAAGAATTATACTGCTATTGTTTGGCCTTGCCGTAAAATGATTGATTGTTTTATCCAAATTGTTTGTTTTACATTGTATTTAGATCTTCTCATTCAAGATGAAAAATGTTGTGTTTTGAATTTAAATATCCAGACTCTGTAAAAACGGTATTTTGTGAGCACGAGTGCGCGTCTGTATCGATACTAGGCTTTCACTAAATGAAAATACGATGAGGGTCACGACGTGAGACAACTACAAGATAATACGCTGGCAACCCTTGCGGGAAATTATAGGTTACCAGTGTGCACGACTTTTCGGGGATATAATTCCCGGAAAGAAGTATAAAGAATAAAGAAACAGAGTGTTGTCGTTGATGTTTTTCCTATCAGGTAAAGCGATAACACCTGGTAAATCGTTGGTAGCGGCTCAGGACACTCCACCCAAAAACTTTGGATTTATCAGGTACTTTTTCTCTTGATAAAGATTCAAAACCATAGGTTACGGTATACCATTGTAGAGATAATAGAACCCATCAATATCGTATATAATGTGGACCACTTGCATTGTGAATTTATTGTTTTGTAAGTACTCTCATAAAATACATGAATAGAATTGCTTATTCTCTTATCGTTTATTCCAAAGCCAGCAGATACGCAAAATAAAAACGCAACTTTATTCTCGCCAGGTTCGACTTATCCCTTCCCGGTGCGGGAGATTCCCTGACCACCTCCAAGACAACAGTATCCGCTACGGATCACACTCCTCCTAAGCTGAACAGACTGTTTTTGAACGAGTGCTCCCAATTTCCTACCACGCCGATAACTGCTTCCCACGAGAGGGACTTGGTCATCTAGCAATCAGCAGGCAACAGATCACAGGTAACAATGTAAAAGTATAACCCATATCTGAGTGTGATGTCATTGATATTTGCCATTTATTCAAATTATATAGATTAGATGATGGCCCCGTCTTGGGCCCCATGTCTTTTATATTGTACCTGGTCGGTCGATCCACAGTGCATCCAGTTAATTGTGTAAACATTTCAGATCAACTATGGTCCATTATCATTCTTTTGAAAAATGTTTGATTACAATTGCTGACATTATCATCAAATGGTGAAACTTGTAACCCTCCCAGGAAGTCACAGAAACAGATATATACCCACTCTTCGCTGGAGATACAAACCTCTCAGAACCACATTCACTACCCTCAGTACCTCATCAATCTACTATTTCTACTCCTAAAGACCCGAACATTCCTCAACTTGAGGGTCCGGGACCTTCAACTTACGGAGATTTGTTAGCGTCCGCTTCTCAGATCAGTTTAGATGATATTGTATGCGAGGGGGTGGATCCTGAGATCGAGGGGTATCAGAGACTTTTTAGCAAGAAGTTCAAGAAGATTCCCCCAATTCACTGGAGATAGTGAGTTTGTGTTTCTACAGTGAGAGTTTATAAACTGTTACAAGGGTATTATATAATGTAAAGGGGTTTGTAGAGAGCTAGAGAGCGCTTTGTATGGTGAGTTGTGCGAATATAAAATGCTTTGTCAGGAAAGTTTGATATTGAAGGATTGAGTGGTATAGCTTGATGTCGGAGTTTACCACTGTAAAGCTTGGTTAATTCAAAATGGATGACTGTACTGTGATTGGGTCAAAGCTTTCTTTGTGGAGACTCATTTCACGAAGGCAAGAAGTGGCCTCGCAGACAACTTTGTAATACCATTATACAAATTTGCTCTCACTTTCTCTGAAAATTATGGAGTGATCTGTTACTCTACGTACCATAACCCTTTGTGTTAGGTTTAATATACCTTGCTCTTCTTCGTACAGCCATCCATTTTGAATGAGAAATGATCGTATTCGGCTTGGATTTGCGAATTGAGTTTGTTTGATATTTATGTAAGTGCCCAACTTCATGGTAGTGAAAGATTGTAGTTGCATGAGTTTAGTTAAACAACGTTTAACGTAAGATATGCATGGGATGAAATAACTGATTAGCTTATTTAATTTTGAGATTCATGATGATTGAGGGAAAATTAATTTGAGATGAAATTAAAAATTAATTTAGAGAGCTGGAAAATTACCTTGATCGTATTACATAGCCCGAGTTATGGTAAAGTAGCGGAGATTAGATTTATTTTGCGGAGTTTCTAATTTACAATCCAGTCGGTAATCTCAATTTAATTGGACTCCATTCCATTGTTGCCAACTCTGTAGAACCTGTTGGATAATGGACATGTAACATGAATCAATTCATCAAGGCTACTAGATATTCATTACCTACTGGATTTATTAGATGGTAACATTATTGATACCGGGACAATAGTTGTACGATGTACATATATATATAACAGTTTGTATCAGTGTAACTGTACAGCTTATAATAACTGTAAAGAGAGAGGTAAATCATTTGCTGAGATATTTGCAGTTCGTTAGTGTCAGTCTAATCTATTGCTCATCAGTCAGGGCCGCCAACTCTCTCTCTCTTAGAACTTCTATATTTCTCAATAATAAATAGCAAGAGAAATAGCTGGGTATCCCGGAACAGGGGCTGATGTAGAGACTAGAGTCTGTAGTATAGTAAAGTAGTAGGGAGAAGTAGCGGTCTCTCTCATGCTCATGACTCGTTCTATCTTTCTGCGAACTCATGAGGTTCAGTACAGATCAAGTTTGGGCAGGATCAGTTTACTGAGAGAGGGAGAGAGAGAGAGAGAGAGCGAGAGAGAGATCTATTTAGCGTGGTTATTACAGGGCTGTTAGCGAGCCGCTGTTAGTCCAGCACCAATGTCTTATGTCACTCTTACGTGGTGTTGTCTTGTACAGATAGGCCTCACTCCATTTCATGTGGTCATTCTGCCCGACTTCCACCTCCTTTCCAGAGAGATCCAGAGAGTTCCCCTAGCAAGATTAGTCTGGTTCGAGTCTTGCAGTCGCGGTTAAACGTGTGGTTTAAACACACAGCTGACATGTGGGATGTTGTGAGGGGTCGTATTTAATCTTTGTCTTCTCGGATAGCTTGGTTTGTTGTTGTGATATATGCTATGTATGCATTGGAGCAGCTAACTTATTTGTGTGTAATTTGAAGATTACCCTAGATAGTAGATACCTCGGATGTACCATTCGTACCTCATTTGTTTATTGGGGCCATCTTGTGACTTTGCGCTTGTAGTCTTAAACAGACAACGATAGATTGGTTCTGTTGTGTTGTATATTGTTGGTCAGTTGATGGCACTGAATACCCCGCCGATTTGCGTTCAGATGCAGCCATAAACCAGTAACTAATGGTTGTAAACCAACAATTTTCAAGGCAGTTTGTCCTGAAGTTGTTGAGAGTAATATTTTGCAGTAAGTATGGCTTCTAATTCTAAGATTCATAGCACTTTAAGGAATATTCGTGTCCAGTAGTAACTCGGTTCTAACTTTGTTTCGAACTCTACTCTAACTTTCTGACTCCAGACATGAACGGTTTAAGAAGACATGTCGGGTTGGTATCCTGCTTATTTTAACTCAGCAAATGATTTTAAGGTGAAGGTATGATGATTGGAATTATTGGTATTGATAGTGTTAGTGTACCCGATACTGTTGTTAGAGAGGGCTCGCCATCATTTTTCTCAACCCTGACGGGAAACTATAGATTTGTTTCTAGTCCCGAGTTGAATAGACAATCTGTTAGTCTTCTTTCACTGCGTTATGATTTCTTGATCAGTTTTGTACTAGTAGTTTCTTCTCTGTATAACTGCTAGGATACCATGACTAATAACATGATAAGTTGGCTTTTAGGAGCCAAGGCATCATGTTCATTCTAATGTTTGCTCTGTACCATAAAATGCCGAATTCATGATAAGCTTCACATCGCGGCTGCATAATAAGCTTCGCATCGCGGCTGCATAAAAAGGTGGTAATATCACTGAGATAGCTGTAATTAATCATTATGCGACCACCTGACCAGCATGCTGTTTAACCCCCATCAAATTAACACGGCCACATTGTATCTTATTATAATATATAGGTTGATAAAAACAATGTGAAAATGAGCCGAGTAATATCTATTTTGGGGTAAGTTGCAAGTTGTGATAGCGTGACTGTATCTGAGATCGTGCCCTTAATCTTTCAACATTATCGGTGTACTGTACGAAAATGTTTGATTGCACAGATTCATGTACTGTACTGTACTGTACTGTACTGTACTGTACTGTACTGTACTGTACTGTACTGTACTGTACTGTACTGTACTGTACTGTACTGTACTGTACTGTACTGTACTGTACTGTACTATACTGTACTGTACTGTACTGTACTGTACTGTACATGAATCTGTGCAATCAAACATTTTCGTCGTTCAGTTTTGTTTAAAGAACGTGTTAAGAGAGAGTGTAGTGGAAGGAGTAAGTGTGGAGTGATTATTATTATAGTTGAGTGTTACATTATGGTGGCCTAAGTAAAGTTGTGTAATGTGATGTGATCTGTTGCCGACCAATTGAAGGTAAAATACTACCTGTATATCCCGGGATTTGAAATTCTGTAACGGTCGACAATCTTGCGATTAAGTTGAAATCTCATTCTGTCTACCATCAAAGATTTGAACAAAATGATAGCTCTCTGTTCGATATTCTCACGCTACCCTGACCGATCTTCTTTCAGTAAATTTAGACCGTTTATCAGAATCTCCCGGGATTATAATTTTAACATGAATATCCAAATTAAAAGAAGGATTCTAGAGTATATTGTGTTGTACGTGTATTTAATACTAACAACAGGACTTTTTTACAGCTTATGTGATCTTAAGAATAAAGATAAATATTTCTATGGGCTTTATATTCACATTCTTGCAGAAGTGTGGTTGTTCGATCGAGCGATCTCATTTAGATTTTTGTAAATAATTTTCGTCTTGCCAACGATCCAGCAAAATTGAGAAGCGCTATTATTATTATGTAAATCTTTCTTTGAATAATGTATATTAAAAATTCAGATTTTAGTGTTCAATTTATACGCAATCTATGATTTTGTTACACATATTGCCAACTAGAACACTACAGACTACTACTTGATATCATACACAATTCTGTGTCATATAAAAAACTTACCACCACTATGACTATGAGGTTGACATGACTATAACATTCACATTTAACTTAATACAATAGTCGGAGTATCGGCGGCTGTTTAATTTACTTTTGACCCATGATTACAATAATATGTTCCCTAGAACTTTCCCTAGCTGTTTCCCTGGCAATGGTAGGCATCAGTAATCAGTACACCTGATCCTAAATATTTATCAGCTTGTCAACATCAAAGAGAGTATAGATGTTCTAAACCCTCCTCCATGCTCTACCTGCAATCAGCATGTTAATAAAGCGATGTTTATAATATTTACACATGGTGGGTATAACTAATAATAACGGCTGTATGGCTTATTAGGAGGCCTTCTTACTACAGATTCATTATAACATCTTACGACTAATTAGGATTCTTCGTAGGATCTTTGATGACAATAATCCTTATTAAACTTGAAACGAGTGTCATTCCGGCTTCAGCCTTAGGGATGCCCGCCTGCTAGCTCTCTGTCGATATTCAGTAACTAGCGTACCAGGTCTAGGTAAGCCACTTAAAAACTATTTAGTAATTGGTAAGCTGTAGGGAGCAGGCAGAAGACAGCTCGCCCGCAGACACCACCGTATAAGCGCGAGTCTACCAAAGAGTGGTCCGCTACAAGCACTCATTACCTCGTTAAAGACAATTATCCATGCCTGGTAGAGGCTCGTTATCAGCAGGCTATAAGGAGGTCTACAGCTCTCTTCCTACTGTTATTAGTTGACTGTAGTACTAGTAGTATAGCTGGCTGGTCCATTTCGCAGTAGTTGATGTAACGTCATTGTCATGTTACTACGAAATTTAGTTTGAAGGATCATTTTAACATGAATGTATCATAGTATTGTAATTGTATGCCTTCAGTTCTTGTTCTGATGGGATGAATGTATAGTTTTAAATTGATCTTGAGAGTTGAGATTAAAGATAGTGCTACTTCATGTGCAAAGATTCTCATGATCAGGTTTTTGAATTGTAATTTTCATTTACTGGTTATACTCAAAGTAATCATGAGAACAACAAGTTCATCAAATTTAATTACCAACCCTACTCCATAGCCCAAACAGAGTAAAACAATTCTCGCCCTTGTATTGAAACTTTTATTTGTTTCGAGTTTAACCTCGAATTATGCCATTCACGATTTTTGAAGCAAACAATAACAAGGATCAAAACATGAAATTCGGTTTAGTAACTAGTAATGATATTTAGGACAACCGTGATATATATATAGCTATTATAGCTACTGGTCTAGCTATAAAAACAAAAAATATTTATCTGTTATCTGGTGCAATATTAATACGTTGATACAAGCTTCAGTCGTCACGTCATTTCTGCACCACTATACCAAAATCTTCAATGTCATACGCACGTAGAGCTGATTAATGTGATAACAGAGTGCCAAATATGTGATAAATGGAATATAATGTGAGGCACCATTCGCCGCACATGATTAAAATTAAAAATACAATTAAATGTTGCTTCTGCCTGGAGGAGACACCGGTCACTGGGCCGGTGAATTATAAAACCTGTGGAAGTAATTTTGCAGGGCCAGGAAGTAACATTAATATTTATGGGACACAGGTTTAAAATGTTTCGATAACTATGAACTTAAACTCCTATAGGATTGTGCACGGAAATTGAAAATCCACAAAATTTTTCGTCTTTCGATCAAATTTACTCTAATTTAAGAAAATACGGCCTTATAACTATAAGATGAGTTGTAATTAGTGTTGCAGTACCAGGCACAAGGTTGCTGATAGAGGATAGAGGATAGAACACTGATCAGATATGACTGAACGAAGAGACGCCAATTCAAATGAGGTGGCTACATTGTTCCGTACAACTTCATCAAATCACATTATCATGATTATAATTAACATCACGGCCACATCCTACACCTCGAACAATCCCAGAACAACAACCCCGAACAATCCCAGAACAAAGACAGACGGCCAAGATTTGCACGTGACAGGAACTGTTTTCGAGAGAACAACAATGGGATGATAATACAACTAGAGCTCCGTTATATACGTGTATACTGAGAGAGCTTTATAAACTAGCTGACTTATAGTTTTAGTATTTATGGGCTTGTTTTGATAGCCTTCTCGTAGCCTAGTTTTGGGTAGTAATAGTATTGTTTTGACAGCCTTGACAGGGCTTCAACAACCAGTACTACTAGTACTGGTTGTTGAAGCCCTGTTTTGATGGTTTTGATTTCGTTCTCTTGCTGTGGCCAGCATGGTTGGATGTGTTATAATAAAGTCATGAGAACTGTTGACTGTGCTTGCTATCGATTGTCTGTTATACGGAAAAATTAAACATGGCCTGGAATAAGTTAAATTATCGTAAGATAAATTGACCTACAAGTTACAACCTATATCCGAACAGATACTATTATGAGAAAATGTCAAGTATCGCGGTTGCCAAGCGTTACTACGACAACTATGTTTCCATGGCTGATGAGGATAATTTGGCTCCCGAAAAGCTTGCTGAACTGAAGAACTGTTTTGGTTCATTCGACAGAAACGGAGACGGCACTATTTCAGCCAACGAGTTTCAAAATGCTCTTATCCGGATGAACATATACATTCCAGCTGATGTACAGTTTTCTTTTAAGTTTATTCTATTACTTGAGGCACCGTTTTTGTCATTAATAATGTAATGTCAACTGTACAATAGCTTAATTCAAAATCTAAAATTTATGATATGAGATTATTTCTAAACATCCAATAACCGTGTCAGGAGATAAAGGGCATAATAGAAGAGTACGATGTGGACGGTAACGACTCGTTAGATTTCTCAGAGTTCCTCATGCTAACAGCCAAACTCGACCCCAGAATAGGTCAAGAGATCGAGATCAACAAAGCTTTCAAACTGTTCGACAAGGACAATGATGGATATATCACCAGGTTTGTCGAGCTAGAAAGGTTCATAAATAGACTTAATTTATTATGTTTGGGAACATTATTTGAAATCTGTTGATTATGTTTCGAGGGTCATACGTTTCCACTTTTGGGAGTTTTAAAGCGAAAGGATATGAACCTCTTGTTGTTGGTATTACGTACAGTTTACACTGACCACAGGGTTGAGTTGGTGGATGCTCTGCGAAGGTTCGGGATCAATGTAAGCCAAGACGAGGCAGATGACCTATTTAACATTACCGACGACAACTCAGACGATCTGATCAACCACACAGAGTTCAAGAATATTTTATACGACGCCGTGCCGCCTTCATCCGTCCCGCTAGGAGGTAATTATCCAGACGTTTTGATGCAGTATTACTGTTTGGTCATAAATGTACATCGAAATTATTTCAAATATTTGACTCCCACAAATGCTACGACACTATCTCAGGGCAAACTAAACAACATCTCTCAGGTCACCCAGGACAGATCTCACCCGGAAGCAGGTCCCCAAGAGGAACCAGAAGTCCTAACGGACTTGATCCTAAAGGAGCAAGGAGTCCTAGTGGAGCCAGAAGCCCTAAGAGATCTCGCAGTCCTGAACTAGCTGCTAATATTGCATCATAGAAACCTTTATCTATCGGATGAAAACTCAGGACCATCTTGTAGCAAGGAATACAACGGCGACTGTTCATATTATCATATCTTGAATAACTTACAGGGCCGTGGACTGGATGTTTAGACAAATGCACATTGCACAGTGTGCATTGTGCACCATCAATCAATCATGGGCTCGAATGGTACACGTATTATAAGTAAAAACCCTACAATCTCTTGAATGAAGAACCAAACATGAAGGTTGATACTAATATTACAATTTCTTGTTAGAAAAGGTCTGATGCACTGATCAGTTTTACCTTCACAACTACCAGTAAAATGCTGTGAGAAATTTACAGGGCATAATATATAATAAGTTATCGATTGGGTGTAATAGGGGCATTTAATTTGAGTAAACTCTTGATTGCTCCTGTACACATGTCTAAGATATTTTTGAAACATGAAGCTTAAGTATGATGCGTAATTATCATAAATGCTGTTGATATATAAATAAGTGATGAAATTGTTATATTGAATTAATTTATTCCATTTGTAACCAATTAAAAAGATGTATTACTTATTTTCCTGAAAAACCCTCATCCAATCTCTGAAGAGAAGCCTTTTTTCTATGACAGCAAACCAATGGTTGGTATAAATGTAGTTAAAATAAATATCCGGTACAATAAAAAGTATGATACACAAAACAAATAGGCCACGCCGAAAGTCTGGGTTATTAAATCGATAAAATAATTGTCTGAATTGCTGTGAGCCGTCAAAATCCCAATTGCCTTCAATACAGGAGAAAAATCACGAATTATGTAAGTGGATCAACTGCATACCGCACATTTTGAAATGTCAATAAAAAAGTAGGATGAAATGCTCAGGGCATTTTAGTGCTCCGAGTTTTTATCAAGGTCATTATGAAATCTTTTAGGTACAACGATCATACAACGAAGTAACAAAACTACTTCACTCAAATCGAAAACCGGAAACTCTCAATGCCTCAAATTACTGGCACGAGCACAAAAACATAATCTTTGATATTGAAAATGGCAAATCAAGTTGCCTGAAATCAATCTACATCTATAACTCCTCTAAAATCACAAATAACAGCCGTTTAAACTCTACAAGACCAATTGTGTCGTATCAGATGTTAATAAAGTTTGACAGATTAGTGGAAGTTTGTCTTTTGTTTCATTGAAAAAGGTCTTTTCAATTATTCATTAATAATATTTCGTCAATATTTGGCCGTACAAATTACAAAATTACACGCCCTCGCTTGACTGTGTCATCTTCCCCTCCGTATCAAATTAACTCATCAGCTTTAAGTTCATCACCTCTGAAATTCAAGGAAGTTACTTTTAGTTATGGTGTCACCTAATCCCCAATCTACCTCATTAGAACCAGTTTTTATTTGTTTTGACAGTATAGTAGACAGGGATTCAATCGCACATTCGGTTGCTGCTAGAAGTAGATTGGGTAATACGGATCACCTCCAAGTAACAGAGTAAACCAATGTTTCTTAATTAATCAATCACGTAAAATCAATAACAATTAAATAATTCCACACGGCTATATTCACCTGTCGGTGTCTAGAGAGGATTGTGCGCACATCATTACAGAATCTCAAGCCGTCTAGGAAAGGCAAAAGATTTAGAAGCCATGTATCCGATCGGTCCTTCGTCCACGTTGGAACCGCGATGGCATTATCTGAGTAATGTTTATCGTGTGAGCCCTCGAGCTAAATGATTATACCATCTTAATCAACGTTCAACATGTAAAATATGACACACCAAACAGAGTTAATTTAATTCTCTAAGATGTGGTAGTGCAACTTCCCTCGTTTTAATGCAGCGTAAGTAGGAATTTTGAAAGACAAGTGTCTGTAATTCAGTCTAGTGGGAAATATGAACGAATACATAAATATGCCATATAATTTGTTGACATAATCGTGCGATATTTATGGTAATATTTGTTTGTTATTTTAGGGGCAATGGCACGATGCCCAGTCGCGCGCCGCGCTCAACCTGGACTCTCAAATGTGAGCTTGCTTCAACTTTCTACTTATCAATTTCTTCAAAACTAGCAATAGGAAAACTAGATGATTAACAGCTGCTCTTTTGTGTCACATTTGGTCAGGAGTGTCCAACAATCGATTTCCTGGTACGTCAGAGTTAAAATTAGCCTTCTTTAAGTTTCCGATACAATAACAGCTGTTATTGCATGCCTGATTCGTAAAATAATGAACAAAATTGAACTTTTCCTCCGTAGAAATGCAGATTTGGGTTAAATGTTTTCAGGGTCTTTAAAGCAGGTTTCAAATTAGCAAGTTTCAATTCGTAGCGAGGGCTTTGTTTGTATTTTCTCAATTTCATTCACCATAAGTTAAATTCTGCTGATCGTCTCACGTTTAAAATTTGTTAGCGAAATAATGCATTCACGAGGTTAGATAACAGTGCCGGCCCTAAATATAAAGATTTATATATTTTGTAGATATCCCAAATTTGTTTCTAAATAGGAAGTAAATATTACGGGCTACATCTAGACCACTCATTTAAACAAGCCGGCCAGAGATTATGTCATCTAGATGAGTAGACACGGTTAGTATACAGTTAGTACAGTGTTTAGTATTTAGTAAGTCAAATCATGTCATCCCGTTCAACTAGCGAGGCTTCTCATCAGGGTGAAATTGGTGTGATAATCGGTAGTCCCGGGATATAACTTTAAATACAACAAACAAAACTTACGTATGAACAAACCTGGATAGTTTTTATAAGCTGAAGGGGAATTATCGATGATAAAAACACTTGACAAGTCCGATTTGATCATGGTTAGATCTTTTGTGTATTGGCTGGTGGAGTCCAGCACACAGTGCTGAAATATATTATATTTTATGGATTTGCGGGGATAAATTTATACTTTGTTGGTTCAAATCAAATCAAATAATAATGACATAAAAATCATCACACGTCATGGTTGAGTTACAAATAGTAAGACAATCCTTTAAATAGGCTTTATGGTTTATTTTAAATAATCAAAACTAGAAACGCGAACGGTAACAGGATGATTCCTAGACACCCTTTCCTGACAAGCCTACTACTCCTGAATACAGTGCAGAAAACTCTAACTCGATAACTGACTGGTGCAGTCAAGGAAGTGGTCCGCAGATTGCGTGATGACCGTGAAGATGCCTACTTCTAAACTTCAAAATAGGTAGCAATCCTAGCCATGTAAATACACTAAATGTTTATGATATGAAAATCCCGCCACTTTTACAAAAAGAACCGTATGTTCCACATTGGAACAGAGCCAAATATTCAGATACCAGGTGCTAGATTAGCAGGTGTCTGGTTATAGTATTTCATCCTTTAAACCGGAGAGTATTTACAAGAACTAATTATAATTCTTAGTGTGCCAATTTGGGGTGGAATAACCTGCACAAAATGGAACAGTCTGCCAAAACAGTATCGCGTTGCATAAATTGCATTTATTTGGACCTGAGCTGAGTTTTATCTTTTACGGTTGTGCGGTTTTGTGACGTCATTGTTCATTAAAGCCCAGTCATGGGTTTTTGTGAAAGAAACAGTTCGTGTTACAAGAATTACTCGTTACATTGGTTCAATAAATCTAGATAAGGATTTCGACTTAAGATGCAATTGAAAAGTTGTTATGTAACAGATTACCTGTGAGCATCCACTGAACCCAAAAGTTTTGGGCAAAGACTAAGACTCACTAAATCCGCAAGATATATCCGGTGGTAATTGTTGTCACTAAAAATACTTTTACCACATCAGTCATCAGGTCATATTGCATAACTGCACGCTTACTTACAGCTTAAATTGCAATAATATTTGTATGTAAACAACAACAGTTACCATAGCTACGACAATAATAGACAAAGTATAGGATGGTAATTGGTAATGGAATGTCGATTTTTAAAATTCCTACATCAACGATCTCAGAATTATCTTTAAATGAACCAGCTTATGAAATCGTAGACAAATAAATTCAAAACTATTTTTAAGTGATTTAATTACAATTTCGAGGTTTAAGATCAGTCAGTTCATTGCAGCTGAACTGCAAAGTGTTCTGCAAAAGGTTTAAACTACAGACTAATACGGTTATTCCACAGAACCGTTAAACACTCCTATAATCAGATAAAGTTTAGTGGTCACGTACTTTAAAACTTGTGTTACATTTTTAGTTGGGCAGGTTTTCCTGGCTTGTGAAGGGTGGGGCTATGTATAGTACTATGTAGGGAGGGGGAGGGGGGATGATTTGTTGCTTTAGATAATTCACATTACACGTCATGTATAATGTATATTGTATAAATGTGGATCTTAATTGGAACTGCAGTGGAAACTTATAACTTGAGACGAAAAGGTCTTTCTACAGTAAATCACAAATTTCTATTTTACACCAAAAAACGTACGATTTTGTGAGGCGTGTTACCGTGTGTCGCCTCAGGCGTGTTAGCAGTTAGGTCACAGCTATTCTCATGAGCTTTATCGTTATTAACATCATAAAATATATTATATCTACATCAACAATTCTGTTGTAAGACCTCAGTCCCGATTCAGTTAGAATCAAATAAGGGTAAATAATTACTGATAAGATAGTCAGATAAGATAGAGGCCTTGAAATTACAGAAGCCTAAAATTACAGACGCTGATATTGTTCTCCGTAATATATGGAATTTTGACCAGCTCTGTAGTCTGTAGCAATAAAATAAACATCTTGGTGAGTGTAAGTGTAAGTGTTATCATATCAGCTATACGTGATTTAAGGACAAATTAAAGTACAACTTCTCTCGAAAGAGCAAAAAAATCCGGTAACCATATGTTATAAATTTTACTTGTCTTAATAATTACCTGTCTAATTACCTATAATAATTATAATAATTACCTGTCTAAAATAGCGTCTCTGAAAAATTCCGCGTTTATTATCTAACACGTTTATTACTTGCTGGCCGTATTTCTGAAAGAAAATATCAATTTAGAATGTCAATAACTTAACACAAATAACAGTATATATTACCTTTAATAAATTGATCAAATTACGAATTGATAAATCTGTATCGTTAGTCGTTACAAGCTTGCATGATATGCAGTTAAGCTTCCTCTATGTGATTAATCAGTTGTTGTATGTATAATTGAGTTTGGAGTGTACAATGTATACTGCTTATTATCCAACAAATGATCATCAATACAATGTATACATTGATTAAAATAAGAGATTGAACAGAAAAATACGGGTTGAATAAATTTAATTCATGCAAATCTCAAGATTTCTTAAAACCTCAAGTTAAACCTTAAATATAATATAATCAGTCCGATACTGAATTATAAGTCTGGTTCTAAATGGAAGGCCTAACATTTTTAAAATTAGTTTCTACTCGCTAGTTGCATAGTGTGTGGTATTCTACCCAAATTACCCGAATAGTCGTGCAATGTGTATTGGTGGTTCTATATATAACTGTATATAAGTATATCTGAACCATTTGAAGCCCTTTAATTTGTCCGCCTTTCCGGCAAATATATATTTATATACAGTTGCTGTAACATGTACAGTCTATACTGTACAATACATGTTTATATCGAGGAAGCGTGATGTTTAAAGTTAATTCATCCCAACTTGTAACAATACTGATTAATCAATCCGAGATTTGACCCACCACGATCTCCAAAACCTACCTCAATACTGGCCGTATATACCACTATGTCGTACCACTGCCGTACCTGAAACAAAGCAACATTATTACAACCATGCATTATACAATATGCAGTAGGCTACTGTGTACATCTATTTGCACGGTTTACAGGTGTTTGTAATGGTGGGGAGGTGGTGCACGATTGTTTGCAATGTGCTAATGATCGGGGATCAACGCTGCAACCTCACAAGCTGGAGGCTAATACATTGGTCACGACAGACTTGCATCGCCTCCCCGTGATCAAAGTCATGTTTTTCTCAAACGTGAGAGCTGGGGCCCGATAAAACAAAGTGTCACTGGAGTATACAATATAGTCCGGTCCAAAACACGGTTACGAAACACACACATATACAATAAATACATTTGCTATCGTTACGATAGCCAGTTATATCTTATTATAGTTTATACACAACATTGTATGAGTGTATACTGTGACGGTAGGGGGCAACCATTTTGATCACAAGCATACACACACAGACAGACTGGTACACAGGGTACACACAGACTGGTACACACAGACTGGTACACAGGGTACACAGTACACACAGACTGGTACACAGGGTACACACAGATTGGTAAACAGGGTACACACAGACTGGTACACAGGGTATACACAGACTAGACTGGTACACAGGGTACACACAGACTAGACTGGTACACAGGGTACACACAGACTAGACTGGTACACAGGGTACACACAGACTAGACTGGTACACAGGGTACACACAGACTAGACTGGTACACAGGGTACACACAGACTAGACTGGTACACAGGGTACACACAGACTGGTACACAGGGTACACACAGACTGGTACACAGGGTACACACAGACTGGTACACAGAGTACACACAGACTGGTACACAGGGTACAAACAGACTGGTACACAGGGTACAAACAGACTGGTACACAGGCCAGGGTACACACATTCAGACCATACCTCAACAGAAACAAGTACTGCAGACCCCTAGTCTTGGTAAACTTACAGGAAACTAGTTTTTACTTACCACGTCTAAGAAATAGTCCACGTGTGGTCGCTTATTGACATAGAACTTAACTGGTTCATGTCCTCGTTCTATCTCTACCTGAAGTTATAGTTTATTTATTTACTTTTTAATTTAGTTTACATATTATTTAAGTTGTTTGGGTTTTAATAAACGTGAATTAGCATGGATAATAGTGCGGAATACAGTATGGTTGTGTTCTATACATGATCTGAGAGGCTGATCAACTAATTAATTGACTGAGGACAAAACTTAATTCCTCAGAGACAAATGTGCATCGCCTCCCCGATTATGATCCATTCTCATCTGTCTACTGATTTCATTTTAGTACTGTTTAAAAAAAACGAGATCAAACGTGGGTCAGCTTTTGTCTGGAATTTGAAGATTTATAAATGTTTGAAGATTTATCGCTACAGTCCATGAAACAACGGAATTGTTTTACAAGCGCCAAGTTTTGCACACGATATTTTACTATAGGTGACATGCAGCAAATATATATAATATATATCTGTAGTACTCAATTGGAGGTTTGATACGTGAAGAACCATATCTTAATTCTGACTGGTTCCTCGCTAAACATCTGACGTCTCATTGGTTTAGGAGATAATATATCACGAATGTGAGTGCTTCCTTCATCTCATTTAACATTGTAATACATCGTGAGTTCAACACATCGATGACATGATATTGAGGAAGCCATTTGTGAGACTTGGACAATAGTACAGTTTACAGACTTTTACATGCTCCGACATATATGGTAAGTCAGCAACTTTTGTACAGAAAAGATATTGTATGTTTTGTAAGCTGCGTTTCGAGAAAAAGAGGGCTTAAACTGACATGTGAAGTGCTTCACTAGTCAAATCTTTTATTTATAAACATAAATTTACTATATTATGCTCTTTTTACGAAGCATTTTTCAGACATATCCGCTGTTCATTTTATTATGTCATTCTATGTAATATTACGGATATTAATCATAACTATAAAGAAGACACGCATCATTATTATCAGTTCAGTCATGCATGACGAAAGTAGTTTTAAAACCTCAGAAAAGGAACCACATGTTATTTTACAATGAACAGGAAATCTCTAACAGGAAATTCACTGCACTGTTCACGTGATTATAACATTACAAACAAGAACCCTCCAGGTAAGCACCATTCCTACAACCACTGCTATTTATCTGTTATTAAAATGACCAATTTCACAGCTGTTCAGATGATCATTCCTTAAACCATTACCACACTGAGCCTCAAAACGGTAGCACTAAATTTCTTGTTGCAGAAAATCATATTATGAGTTAGGTTGGGCAATTGAACGCAATTATTACAATTCCTTTCAAATTCATCAGTAAAATAGAGAGAGAGAGAGAAGGAGAGGAGGGAGGGATGGAGGGAGGGAGGGAGGGAGGGAGGGAGGGAGGGAGGGAGGGAGGGAGGGAGGGAGGGAGGGAGGGAGGGAGGGAGGGAGGGAGGGAGGGAGGGAGGGAGAGAGTCGGTTATCCTTTTAAATTAAATCTTATTATTAAATGTTCAGTTTGACTCAGAGCAATTCAAGTGTTTACAAGGCTGTATATTATAATATGATAACAGGTGTCCACATCAATTATAATAGTTACATAATACATATATAATGCATTAAGTTTTGGGAAATACATACCACCAAATTTTCAACTGTAAACAGTCTGTACGTGTCGTGTGTAGATTACATCACATTACACTAACTTGCACTTGGCATAACATAAATTGGAGATACCTTTGGCTGCAATTAGATGTGTCAATTAAGACTTTCTGCTCTTATTACTGTACACAAAGTATACCGTCGGAATGGTTTTGAAGGAGTAAATATAATAACATATAGGTAATATATATGTGTTATATTTTCTAAATTTGGTACTCACTCTAAGCACGAAGTCTGGTTGTGACTGTGGTCGTATTAAATAGCTGAAAGAGAATTGAATAAGTGATTACCCTATTTTTTTAGAGACCTTATATTATGATGTTTGTCATTGTGCTGATATAAAACAAAATCACTCAGCATACATCTTTGAACGTGAAGAAAATTTGACAGTTAAGTATATGAAAAAAAATAATCCAAAGCGTTAAACAAATTATTATGTAGTCGTTCTTTTAAAGAAGAATGAAGCCAGTTCTTCTACTTACGGGTTGTTGTTCTGAGAGTGGACCAAAGTTTCGTCCAAATCTAAGACTAAAACTTTCCGCCTTACTTTTACTGAAATTGTGGTAAGAGAGTTAGTACCTAATCATTAATAGTTGCTGCTTTAAGTAACTTACTTTGTGTTTATCTTAGTATCCAATATCCATAGCTTACAAGAATGGTACACAATGTGTGGCTGATAAAATGATCAAAAATTACTTTCCTTATTAAAGCACATGAAAATTATGTGTTACAGCTGCTGGAGACAAATTAGAAAAAACCGATATCTTAGGAATGCTAGGTCGGATTTTGACCAGATTTAGCCTTTATATTATATATCTAATTTTAATGTAAAATATTTCAAATAACACAGTCAAACTAGTGTAGTCTACTACTTACAAAGTCGCTCAAATCCCCAAGGTTGCTCCAAGGGAATAGATTCATATTTAACTGCTTGGTATTCTAAGGTCTGAAAGATGTTCATTATTAGTTTAGAGATAAAATACTGCATTTAAATACTGCACCAGAGATGAGTGACTTGCTTTTGGTACAGAACCATTTCCATATGTAAAAAGGATACAAGATAACTATACTGCTGATCACTGACCTTGACATAAAGACTTCTGATAACATTGTAGATAAGCTGTATTCCCCCAAACAAAATAATGAAAAATCCCTTTACAAAACACAATACTCTCATAGTGAATTTCCTTGCACTGTCATACCTTGAATAAAGATAATTTAGTGTACTTGTTAGGATGAATTTGAGGGGGGAGGTCCTTTACAAACATTATTATTAAATCTAAAATAGCTAATAATTTAATAAATTATTAACAGGCCCCTTAACGTGGGCAATAATATACGCTTTATAAATTATATAAACAAATTGTAGTCTATTTTCCCAATGTTGTTAATTGTCTCTTTAGATCTGTTTTGGTCTTTCGTGGGAGTTCCCACATTTGTTGGTTGAGAATGCTCAACATAACATACATGATGCTTGACTGCTTTATTGACCCGGACAGGCACCGGGGGCAGACATCCCAACACCAGTGCGTTGGAACGTGCGTTACAAACATGCTAGAAATTACATTCTTGAAAATTACAATTGATCGTTACAGTCATCTGAGTAGTGAGTAGCTAGTGCAACTTTTAAAAAGTTTGAAAGGCCAAATACAATGCACTACAATTTTACTCAATAGATTTATCTAATCTAATCTAATCTTTTGTTCAAAATATCTTGCAATCCCAAAACTAACTTTCATTTGAGGAAAAATGAACTTTAATATTATTTTTGAAAAGGTCATTCAAACAATATATATTATATACTGGTAAGCTCAACAATGGTCACTATTCAACACCATGATTAGATATATATATATTTATACATCAATTGATAAATTGAATAAAACAGTAAAAATTACAAAAATCCGAGCAAAATTTATAACAACCAAATTGTGAAGACATTATTATTATATCGGGTCTCAATAAGAGGTCTCGACTGCCTAGGCATCAAACCTTGGCAATCGGTAATTTTCCTCTGGCCCGGAGTCAGCTGACCCTAGGGACCAGAGGATAAAGGCGTAGAGACTGTGTGTATCTACAAAAGTGGTTGTTTTTACAAGAGACAGGGCTTGCAACGCAAGGGAAGAAAAACGGGAGAAACAAACACAAAATGCATATTAAATGACTTAGAAATTCAAACAATCCTACACTACAATAAATGTTTATTACATAATTATAATATGTTGTATAAACAAGAAACAGGGCTTGCAGGGCAAGAGATGGGACACATAAGAGCTGGCCACAGAGTGTATAATACAGTAATTCAGCAAACACCTATTACTAATACTGAAAACTGAATCACAAATTATCACAATAATTACAAGAATATATGAAATACTAAACACAATTTTTATACAAGAAACAGGGCTTGCAGAGCAAGGGAAGAAAAACAAGAGAAATAACTGTAACAATTGTATATCACAAAGTCCAGACGAAAATAATCTTTGCACAAATCTGGGAGTAAATTCAATACAGTATACTTAATAAATACAATAACTTTCCGATATGTACATTGATATGAGTTAAAAGTTGTATAAACTAGAGACAGGGCTTGCGGAGCAAGGGAAGAGATAAAAGAGGACCAGGCAAAAAGTATATATTACAGTTATACAGAATAAACTAAAACTGAAAGAAGTGTGTATTAAACACTCAATCAGATGTCCAAGACCATCCTGAGAATTCTGGCTGATCCAAGCAGAGCTGTCTTCTGAAGATTAGAGATGCTCAGATTGCAGTGGACTGCATCGAGGTGCTTACGAAAGTTTATGGTGACAGTTCCTAAAGCGCCTACCACCACTGGGACAATTGTAACCTTTCGTAAATTCCAGTTCTTCTTAATCTCTCTTTTTAGGTCTTGATAAGCTAGTATCTTATCTTGCTCTCTATCCAAGATCCGGGTATCTCCTGGGACTGCAACGTCGATGATGGTTGCTGCGTTGGTTACCTTGTCTACCAGGAGAAGATCCGGTCTGCAGTGCTCGATAACGTGGTCTGACTGGATGTGAAAGTCCCACAATAGCTTGACTTTTTCGTTCTCCAACACCTTCTCTGCTCGGTGTTCGTACCACTTTTTACTGCGTGGGAAGCCGTATTCCTTGCACAGACTCCAGTGCAATGCGGCAGCTACTTTGTCATGCCGACACTTATATTCTGTCTGTGAAAGTTTTGGGCACCCATTCAGTATGTGATCTATTGTCTCATAATGATTTCTGCAGAGTCTGCAGAGTGGAGAAGAGCCAGGTGTTTTGTCAATCTTATTCTTTACATAGTTAGTCCTAAGTGCTTGGTCTTGGGCTGCTATCAACAATCCTTCTGTCTCCTTCTTCAAGTCTTGTTGAGTGAGCCAGTTCCAAGAGGTTATCGGATCTGCTATACCCGTCATCTGCCTTGGAAACTGTCCGTGCATCACTTTAGTAGTCCACTTCTCCTTGCGTATTTCCTCGCGTTGTGTTCGGTCAGTATCTTTGTCTATCTCTTCACCTAAGAGTATCTTGTCTTTGACAAAGTAGTCCTTCAGAGCAATCAGTTCCGGGTCTCTACTCTTCATCACATAGGTGGTGAGTGCATTCTCCTCTCTCTTTACGACTTCCTCTATACTATGTAGCCCACGGCCACCCAGTTGACGGCTTACGTATAGCCGATCAACATCTCCTTGGGGATGATGAGCTCCATTTATCCTCATTAGTTTCCGGGTCTTGACGTCCAAGGCTTTGATTTCTCCAGCGTTCCAAGAAAGAATTCCAGCTCCATATCTTATCACAGGTACAGCCCATATTATTATTATTATTATTAAATCTAAAATAGCTAATAATTTATTAAATTATTAACAGGCCCCTTAACGTGGGCAATAATATACGCTTTTTAAATTATATAAACAAATTGAAGTCTATTTTTCCAATGTTGTTAAGTGTCTCTTTAGATCTGTTTTGGTCTTTTCGTGGGAGTTCCCACATTTGTTGGTTGAGAATCCTCAACATAACATACATGATGCTTGACTGCTTTATTGACCCGGACAGGCACCGGGGGCAGACATCCCAACACCAGTGCGTTGGGACATAGTGTTGGTCTGCTTCAGGACGTGTTAGATCCTAGAGAAGCCGCCATCCCCTCTACTGCTTTAGCTCAGCGGCAGCATGAGCCCTGGTTTCCTGCCACATTGGTACCTCTGAAAGTACAGAAAAGTGGTGGATTTCGGGGTCCAGGATACTCCCTCTTTGTTCTTTATGGTGGTAATATTTCTCTGAGATGTTTGCAGAGTCTTTATTTCATGATCTTTTTTCTTTTTTTTTAGTCGGATAAATCCTGGAGAGCATCATTTTGTCCCCAAAGAAATTCGACTCTCCTAATGAATGCTTTTTGTGTGCTGCTTTTTGTTAACACTTCATCTAGATAGGAATGTGAGTCTGCCCCACCCAGTTCTTCTTTCAGTTGCAGGTAACTGGTGTCTTGCACCTCCAGACACAATAGGAGCTGGTGTACGGGAGAATCAATGAAGCTGTTACAGAAACGACAGGCCTCACCACTGCCACCACCCATGATCTTTAGGATATTCGCAAAGAGTGGTGAGCTGCCGTGAATGTAGTCCATTATTCGGCTGTCCAGATTTTTACTCGTGTTGTGCCCGAATAAAAAGTTGTTTTTGTCTAGGAGCAGCCCACCGTTTTTGATCTTTGCGATCACACCGAGTATCTTGGTCTCCCTGTTGTTACTGACAGTTCTGCATTGCAGATTTGTTTCGATGCTGTCAATCCAGATCTTATTTTTGTAGCTCGTTATGTCTGCCTGAGTGTAATAGGCCAGATCCTTAAAATGTTGCTGTGTTAGGTCTATCATTCTGGTTCCGTGTGACTTATTTTCTTTCCAAAGGAAGTACTTTTTCAGTGACATTGTTAAGACATGAAAGCTTGGTATTCTGCTTTCATCAACTTGGTAGAGGGTAGCTGTAAGATTGTCACCATGTGTGAGTATTTTGCACATGAATTTAACCGAGAGAGCTTCGAGTTGCACATCCAGTGGTGGTAGGTGGAGAGCAAGTTCGGTTAATTCCCTTTGTGGGTTCAGGACTGATCCAGATATTTTTAGAATTATTTTATTCCAGAAGCTTTTAAATTGATTGAGACACTTGTGAAGCCAAATAGGTGCTGCGTAGAACAGTTTAGTGAGGACCATTGTCTTAAGGAGGAGAGTAAGGCTGTAAACGTTTAGACCGTAGTTGCGGTTAGTTGATTTTGTTATTAATCCCCACTTTCTTTTGCATTCTTTAAGTTTTTGAGACGCATGTTTCTTGAAATTGAGGTCCTCATCTACTATTACCCCAAGGACCTTCGTACTTTGAACGTAGTTGATGCTTTTCCCATTAATACATAATTCTGCAGGTTTCTGTTCTTCATTATAGGCTGCAGTTTTCAAGATTATTGCCTCTGTTTTATTTGTATCACAGTTCACTACTAGCTTGTTCTTGATGCACCACTTGCCGAGGTGGTCACATACCATCTGCATTTTTTCATGGCATCCGGAGATGTTCTCAAAGGAAATCATAAGTGTACCGTCATCAGCAAATTTGTAGCAGCTTAGATATCTTTTTACCTCTTCCGGGGTGTTGTGCGTCATGTCTGCTATGTAAAGGATAAAGAGGAGAGGTGAGAGTACAGCCCCCTGAGGTAGTCCAAATATTGTACATTTTCTATTTTCTCCTTTATAGTTGTTCACTTTTAGACATATCGTCCGGTTGAACAGGAAACTTCTCAGCACGTTAAGAATATTTCCTTGAATACCGAGAGTTGATAGTTTGACACATAGTGATGGAAGATGAACACTGTCAAATGCCTTTTCGAAGTCAAGGAAAAGCACTATACATGCCAGCTTCTGTCGTTTAACTTCCTCAAGGTTAGCCAGCATTCTGAAAAGATATCGCGTTGTTGATCTCCCTCCAATAAAACCTTCCTGATCTTCATCAAGAGTTCCCTCAATGTCCAGGAAGAGTCTCAATCTTTTATCTAGCACTCTTTCACAAATCTTTCCAAAGTTTGTTTTATTGAAATAAATTTTCGTGCACATACAGAATGAATGGTTAATAATTTAATTTATATGTAGACCAAGGTCTGTGCACGGGATGCTTCCTGAAAGAATCCAGTTCTTTTAGCGGGGCACCCTACCTAAAGC